CAAAGGAAAAAGCAACAGGGGCGAGGGGGCCAGCCCGGTGGCATAGTGGTTAAGTGCACGCACTCTGCTTCAGTGGCCCAGGTTCGCAGGTTCAGATCCCGGGCATGGACATACACACCGCTTGTCAAGTCATGCTGTGGCGGCGTCCCACATATTACGTAGAGGAAGATGGGCTCAAATGTTAGCCCAGGGCCAATCTTTCTCAGCAAAAAGAGGAGGATTGGCAATGGATGTTAGCTCAGGGCTAATCTTCCTCACCAAAAAAAAAAAAAAAAAAAAGCAACAGGGAGCAGCAAGGGAAAGGAGAGCTCCATAGGGTCTCATCCCTCAGACTTTGTCTGCTCGAGTCCAGACTTGAATCTCAGTCTGGGAGGCTGTGGAATCTGAGCAGTTACCATATTCAGAGTAGACCCTTCTCTCGGGTGCAAATTCACCTTATCATAACTCATAAGATCTACATATGATGATCACACATACACACACACACACACATACAGAATGGCAACGTATTAATCTACAGGGAAAATTCTGTCAAGGAGCCTGGAGGCGGGTGCATTTTCTTCCTGTAGGCACATCACACGGAAATCACAAACAACAGAACTACAGAGGAAAACTGCCATTTCTGCTTCTCCGAATCCATTCCCCTTTATTCTGACTACAAAATTTTACTTCTGAGAACTACTCACCCCCCATTTAGAAAATCTATGGTTTAGATGGTCAGGTGGGCACACGACCCAGGACTGGCCAGTCCCAGAGCTGAAAATGCCCCAGTAACTGGTGGGATTGCTAAACTGTGAGGATACGAGCTGGGAGATGCAGAGAGCAACCTCAAGGAGAGAGCAATGATGGAAAATGAAGCCAATAGGAGAGCAGAACCAAGAGATAGACAGAGATGTTGCCTGACAACATCGTTTACCATCGGAGTCAAGCCATGCCTGAGCCCAGGATGCCCCGTGAACTTTACATTTATGAGAGACAATGAACTCTCTTCTTTGCTTAAGCCACTTGGAGGTGGGTTTCTATCTCTTGCAAACAAAAAGAAGTCTTGATCAATACACAAGAGTTTTGACAGAGAAAATGGAATTGGACCAAGGAGAGTTTATAATATGATTTGAATTTTTAATCAGCATTCATTTAAAGTAGCTTAATGCACGCGTATCTATACCAGGACAGGCCAGGGCTCGTCCTTGTGCACGCCTGTGCTTTGACCCCTGACCAATCCCACTTGCACTGACACACTGCCTCTTAAACCATGCTCATACATTCAATCTGCCTGGCAAGCCTGTAATCATTCTGTCTATGCTCCATTTAACTCTTAGGAGCAATCACACATCCCTTGTTCCCAAGTTCTTAAGGGGATGCATCACTGGATCCCAAGTACTGAGAGTAATCAAAAAGCACTTAATAGATTCATAAATTCTGTGGCACCCAAGAGAACTCATAAACCCTCCAAATTAAAAGTTATGAATTCCTTCCCATGAATTCTAGCATCAAAAAATCATTTACTGTAGTAAAATGGCATACTCAGTTTCCAACTATCAGGATATATCAATGATATTTTGAATTAAGGTTAACACATAGCTCTTATATTTTGATTAAGGTGGGTTCTTTAAACCCACATTATTTTGATTACAAAGAGTTGTTTACGCTCACTGCTATAAGAAATTCACAGGACAAGACAAAAGTTTGCATCTCTCTAAGTTTAGCCCCAATACTAGCTACCTTTTATGCAAATGAAGGCTTCAGTGTATTACTTTTCTTCCTCTTTTCAGGCACAAATCCTGTCTGTGGCTAGATCCTTTGAGGGCCTCCCCCCAGTGCCACTTCCCAGCTCCTTGTCCTAATTAACCCATGCCATGGAGAGAAGCAAATGGTTTTCTCCTCAAGCTATTATCATCATTTGTTTACATGTCTCCCCCACTAGACTCAGCTCATGGGATGACTTGATGACTAGTCTAGCACAGTGTCTGGCAGACGTTCTATAAACATTAGTTGAGGGGATTTAATTAACCACACTTGTCACAATTTTACCAAAATATCTAGTTTGTGACCTTTATGTCACTTCCATTTCAAGCATCAAGGAAAGTATTGGAGGGGGGTCTTAGAGACTCAGTATCTGCCCTCCCTTCAAGAACAATGGGTCCAGAAACAGTTCTTTGTGCACAAGTTTTCAAACTTTATAAAATGTTTCCTGCAACCCTGGCTACCACTATCTGGACCAGAGGTTGGTGCCTGACCTAAAGGTGTCAGCTGTAGTCTGGACATCAGAAAGACCATTGGTCTTCAAGGTGGCCAAGCACGAGAGCTCGGCCCCAGGATGAATCATGTATACTGAAAAGGGATTAAGCAACTCAGTAAGATCCTTTCTCAGGATATTTGAATGCAACTCATAGAGAGAGAGCTGTCACATAGTAGAAGGACAGAAAAAAATTAAGAGAAAGTAAAAACTGATACTCTAAAGCAGAAGCCGAGAATAATCAAAAGCTATGAGGACTCTAGGGAGAAGGAAGTATGGAAAACTGCAGACAAAGAGAGTAGAAGAAGATGCAGCAAGACGCTGAGATAAGTAGCAGGAAGGTACTACAGCTACTGTTACGTGGTCTGAAATTTCCTTTACTACACAGTATGAAGAGCCAGTTAATCCAAAGGCCACATTAAGAGACAGCTACTATAAGATGTTCACTATCTTTACCTCTAATAAAGATCTAAGGTTGTCAGTTACCAAGATGGAAATTAGAAATGGGCTTTTACTGTTGAAATTTGAGATGTTCAAGACTTGTGAATTGGCTAGAAATACTTCAGGGGCACCCCACCATTCCATGAAGGGGTATAACCTAACATATTTACAAGGCTGGACTCAGGAGCAGGGCCCCAGGCTGGGTTCTGCCCTCAGGCACACTTTATTTGGACAGTTTTGGTTGTGCAATGCCAACTCTAAGTTTAACTGAATCCTGCCTCCACAACGTTGTCATATTTGCCTCAAGTGAATCTCTTCAGCAAAGCGGGGAACATCTAAAAGGACAGAGACATAGACTTTATTAAACTGACAAAATAGGTTGCAGCTGTATTTTTATGCACCTACAAAAAAACATTTGCTTTCATATCTGGGGGTGGGGGAGTTGGTAGGAGACCTATAGTCCTCACCTTCCTCTAACTACTGGAGTGTATTAGTTGGGGGTATAGATATAGATGCAGGTGCTATCACACAGAAATCGAAAAGTAAAGTGGCTTTAACAAGAGTCATATTTATGTCTTAACATTTCACAGACCAGAGGTAACCAGTCCAGGCAGGAAGAGCTCCCACTTCTAGTTCCAGATGGCTATTTCAAGTCTCACCATCCCTGAGTCAGCAAGGAGGAGGCAAGAGAAATGGGGAGCACACCCTTCTCCCATGGTTAGGTTTTATCACAAGATCATGCCCAGCTTCAAGGGCAGCAAGGAGACATCTCTACACCAGCAACTGAGGGGCAACTGAGTGGAATGGTACTGTCATACATCCTTCAGGAGTCTCCTTCCCCAGGCAGCTCCCACCACCTGAGGGAACCTGAGTGAGCACTTGTTCTTCACAGTATGGATGAGTTTAATACAGGAATGCAACTCATTGCTTAAATAACACCCATAAGAAATCCACTGTGAAGTCACTACATGAAACAGACAGATGTTTACAAAAAGAGAAAAGGCAAAAAAATATAGTCAGGGCTCTGAAAAATAATTAGATAACTATTACATTAAACAAAAGCTGGATGACTCGAGAATAAGCCAAATCTTTGCTCCTAGCCTTCTTCAATCACCTTAATTAGAGATTCCTGAGTCACATGGGAAAAGGAGCTATCCCTGCTCCACTTCAAAAAACCCTAAAACAGGTCATTGTAATAAGTAAAGCCACCAATTAAAACATAAAGTAAAATCTTGATTAGTCTTCCAAACTGTGTTACTTTGCCAGGGCTGCCATAACAAATATCACAAACTGGGTGGCTTAAACAACAGAAATTGATCGTCTCACAGTGCTAGAAGGGAGAAGTCCAGAATCAAGGTGTCAGCAGGGTTGGATCCTTCTGAGGACTGTTTCAGGCCTCTCTCCTTGGCTTGTAGACAGACATCTTCTTACGTCTCTTCATAACATCTTCCTTCTGTGTCAAAATTCCCCCTTTTTATAAGGACACCAATAATATTGGATTAAGGACCACCCAATCACCTCATTTTAACTTGATTATATCTGTAAAGACCCTATCTCCCAATAAGGCCACATTCTGAGGTACTGCGGGTTAGAACCTCAACATATGAATGTTGGAGGAACACAACTCAACTCATAACACAAACTCAGAAGCCCTTTAAATCTGAGACCACAGACTACATACTCGCTACGGTAGTCATTACATCCTTTTTATTGGAAAATAAAACAGATACAGAAATGCAGAAGACATAAATAAACTGTGTAACAAATAATTATAAAGTGAGCACCTGTGACTGCCATTTGGGTCAAAAAAGTAAAGCATTGTCAGTAGCCAGGAGCCCCTGTGTGCCCCTTTCTGACCACAAATTCATCTTTCCTCCAGAAGGTTCACTCGCATTACTCTTAAGGAAATGACTTCCTTCCTTCCTTTCATAGTTTCACCACTTCTGAATACACCCCAAAAAAATATGGTTTGGTTTTGCCATTTTTTGAACTTCATGTGAGTGGAATTATATTATAATGTATTATTTGGGGTCTTCTATCCCTCACCATGTTTGTAAGACTTATCCATCCATTTACATTTTTTAATGGTTCCAAAGAATATTTCATTAACCCGAATCTACTGTTGCTGGTCAAAATTATATTTTCTCTGATATTTACCATTGTCACTCTTAACATCCCCACATCCTTCAATGTTTACATCAAAATCATATCCACACATAGAAACTACTTTGACTAAAACTTACTTTCATAGTTTTTTTCCTTACAGAAAAGCACTTTTTGGTTAAAGCTTCTATCTATGTAAACAGATTATAACACAAGCAATTTTCTTCAGCCTTACTCCACAGACATTTTCCCAGAAAAACTGAACAAGAAATGATACTCATAGCAAAGTATATTTATCAATCGGCCTAACAGGTTTCAGGCAATGCTATAATATTCTAGGTTGAACTGGCCCATGGGCCATCTCTCACAAGGTGTGTGAACCACCAGATAAAGGTGAGAGAGGGCATGATTCAGTGGTTTGAGGGGACAGTCATTTGTCAAGTCTAGTTGACAGGCTTCACTAATGAGCACAAGACCTTAAAGGAAAGACAACACTGTCACCTGCTGGGCAATACTGACCTCAAAGGCTTGCCCAATTCTTGGGTTTTCAACGGTCAAAGATTTGCTTCTTTGTCCATTCTATTTGAGATTTGCCTAGCTGAACTGTCTCAGTACTCTGACCTTCCCTAGCTGCTTACCTTTCTGAACTGTATTTCGGTCTGCAATCTCAGGCTAGAATCTGACACTAGTTTGGTTAACTAACTCATCTACCGGTTAATACCCTGGCCACAGGAGGCCGACTGAACTTCTATCCTTCACTCAATATGCTAAGCTTAGATCTTAATTCCTTCTTAGAAGTCTCCATCCAGACTTCATTTCCTGGTCCTGATAATCAGTTTTATTTTCTGATCGCAACTTAAGTTCAAGTTCTAACAGAGATGTGACTCCCCTTACAAAATGAATCACAATTGGGAAATGGTTTTCTCTGTCACCCTCAATCTATCTCTATGAAGTAGAAATGAGCTAAATAAAAAAGGAAATTAAGAAATTACTACAGACATGAAATTTTCACTGAAAGTTCTTAAATAATAAGGCTTTCCTTTCAAATTTATTAATTTTTAGTCTCTATAAATGTTATTAGGAAAGGGAAAGCCACCCTTATTTATTATACTCAGAGATAATCACTGTTAACATTTTGGCATATATCCTTCCAGACTTTTCTATTCATAAATACACAGGTAAATAAATACAAAAATGAGATCATGATATAATTCATACTATTTTGTGACTACCTTTATTGCCTTAAAATTATATTGTAGAGACCATCTTCTGGCAATAAATTTTTCTTTACAGCATCACTTTTAATGGCAAATTAGAATTCTATTGTAAGGATGTACCAGAATTTATTAGGCATCTACTTTTTTATTTAATTAATTTTTTATTGAGGTAACATTGGTTTATGACACTACATAAATTTCTGGCATACATCATTATATTTCGATTTCTGTGTAGTTTACATTGTGTTCAGCACTCAAAGTCTAACTGCCATCCATCACCATACATATGTGCCCTTTTACCCTTTTCACCCTCCCCCTCCCCTTTGGTAACCACCAATCTATTCTGTGACCATGTGTTTATTGTTGTTGTTGTTTTTTATCTTCCACATATGAGTGCAATCACATGGTATTTGGCTTTCTCCATCTGACTTGTTTCACTTAGCATAATGCCCTCAAGGTCCATCCATGTTGTTGCAAATGGCAAGATTTCATCTTTTTATGGCTGAGTAGTATTCCATTGTATTATATACCACATCTTATTTATCCATTCATCCTTTGATAGATACTTAGGTTGTTTCCAAGTCTTGGCTATTGTGAATAATGCTGAAATGAACATAGGAGTGCATATATCTTTTCAAATTAGTGTTTTCCTGTTCTTTGGATAAACACTCAGAAGTGGAATAGCTGGATTATATGGTAGTTCTATTCTTAATTTTTTGAGGAATCTCCATACTGTTTTCTATAGTAGCTGTACCAATTTACATTCCCACCAGCAGTGTATGAGGGTTCCCTTTTCTCCACATCCTCTCCAACATTTGTTATTTCTTGTCTTTTAAATAACAGCCATTCTGACGGACGTGAGGTGACATCTCATTGTAGTTTTATTTGCATTTCCCTAATAATCAGTGATGTTGACCATCTTTTCATGTGTCTGTTGGCCATCTGTATTTCTTCTTTGGAAAAACGTCTGTTCAGATCCTCTGCCCATTTTTCGATTGGGTTGTTTTTTTGTTGTTGAGTTGTATGAGTTCTTTATATATTTTGGAAAATAACCCCTTATCAGATATATATATGATTTGCAAATATCTTCTCCCAATTATTAGGTTGTCTTTTTGTTTTGCTGATGGTTTCCTTTTCTATGCAAAAGCTTTTTAGTTTGAGGTAATCCTGTTTGTTTATTTTTTTTTTGTTTCCCTTGCCTGAGGAGACATGCTACTAGAAAAGATACTACTAAGGTTGAAGTCAAACAGCGTACTGCCTAAGCTTTCTTCTAGGAGTTTTATGGCTTCAGCTCTTACATTCAAGTCTTAATCCATTTTGAGTTAATTTTTGTGTATGGTATAAGATAATTGTCTACTTTCATTCTTTTGCATGTGGCTGTCTAGTTTTCCCAACACCATTTATCGAAGAGACTTTCCTTTCTCCATTGTATGTTCTTGGCTCCTTTGTTGAAAATTAGCTGCCCATAAATGCGTAGATTTATTTCTGGGCTATCAATTCTGTTCTATTGATCTGTATGTTATTAGACATCTTTTTTAATAATCTTTTTTGTGATGGTGTATGTTTGATAAATAAGAACATTCAATTCTTATCTTCTGCCTTGGTAATTTGTTGCATCTTAAGATCAAATACAGTCAACTAAAGAAATCTTAGCTACACCTAGAAAGATTAATGACTAAAAAAAAATTCTAATAAGATCAATAAAGATTTTAAATCTTTCACGCCTTATTGCTGGCACGTAAGCAAGACAGTGCTAAACATCCAAACTTCCAATTAGAATAGAATCTAAGTATTTGTCTTTTTGCCCAGTAAAAAGTCCACTGTCTCCAAGGGCACCTAGGAAATTCAATGAAATCCAAATGTTCCTCTCATCTCTGTCACAATAGAGCAGGTAAACAGCTCTATCTGCTGAATAAGTTAAGAAAGAGCCAAAGAAATGCAATACCTCAGGGACCGAAGAAATAAAAGTCTCACAATGAAAACAACTAAAAGACACACCCACCTCATTTTATTAGGAAGAAGCACAATAACTTATAGCCAAGGACAGGGGCAGAAAGTGAAGTGAAAAGAAATAGTAATCAGATCCTATTTTTGCAAACATTTGTATAAGACCTTAAAAGATCAAAAATGTTCAAGCTATTGTTAAAAAGTGACAGACTGTAGAAAACACAACTCTTATGAATCAATCCACTCTAGGAAGTGGAAAGACTAATATTTGTGTCACCCAGGGAAGTCTCTAAAACATTTTCCATGTCTAACGCTTTGTTTTTAAATTGTCTTGCTTATAAGAACCAAGGCAGAACAATGCCAGATGGCCAAACGCCAGAACCAGTCCAAACCAGAAAGGTCCAAGATGGCGATGGGTGCTGTGTACAAAAGGAAACGTGCAAGAAGGGAAGATCTGCACATGCCCCAAATGCCCCTGCCCAGAGCGATGACACAGAGACCCCCTCCCCCCTCACATCCCATAAAAACCCTGCTCATTTTCCCTTCGAGGAGAAGGTGTTTTAGAGCACGAGCTCTGCCTCCTCCATTTATTGATCAATGAATCAAGTTTCTGCTCTGCTATTCCAAACTGGGTCTTGCTCTATTGGTGCAAGTGGCTCTAGGCAAAAGGACCCATTTGCGGGTCAACAGTCCCTTAGGGCTCGATAACATTTGTAGACACCACCTAGCAAAAGGTGGCTTTTGTTTACTGCTGAAACTCTATTCCTAATGATGATTCAGAACACATAAATGCTTGAATTTAATATGCTTCTTTATATGTGTAATTTTTCCCCACACTTCGTAAAGATTTACATCTCTGCAGTACCATATGGTTTCAAATCATCTAAATATAGTATCCAATAATTTTGTTTAAATGGTAAACATGATTATAAATGTCTTTTAAACTTAGAGGTACAATAATTACTCCCTGATCTGAAAGAGAATCAATATGAAGTGAAAATTACATTTTGAGCAAATATAATTTTATTTAGTCATGCATTCTTTTCATAAGCTTCTGCAATCTGACTTCAGGATCCAAATTTTGCCTGAAACCCTCCTCTCCACAGCCATCAGTGACTTCCTTCATACTGATACTGAACCAAGTGAGCTCACCTCCTGGTGAGTTAAATAAGACTCTACACCAGTGGAAGTTGTCTCACAAAGTCAAGTGTATTTTCAGCAAATGGGAAGCCATGAGGAATCATTTCCAAAGTCATGGCATCCCCAAACAAAGGAAAGCAGGAACTTTTATTTGGTTGGCGAATGAATATTCAAAACGGAGAGGCGGGTATTCGCTTGCACAGGCTCAGCTGGAGAACATGCTTTGCATTAAAAATAAGGCAAAGGTCAAGTGCATAGCTCTTGTGGTGAGGCTTGGTCAGTTTCAGGATGGCTGCTGGTTACATCTTCTTAATATACAGAAGGAAAAGAAACAACTTGGAAAAACAGAAAATTGCTTCCAAACCCACCTTTGAGTTTTTCGAGGCCCCTAGTCGGTGACAATACCGTATGCAACACTTCTCATTCTTGATTTTCTTTCCTAGCATTTCTTACTGTTGACTATCACTCTTGCTTAGCACTCTCTACTGATAACGTTAATTCGTATATTGGGACCCACAAAATGGAGGCCCCCCCCAGTGGCCCAGCCCATGTCACAAATCTAAACCTAAGTTAGCCCGCACTTATGGGAAACATCTGTCAAGGAAACCTAACCTACACCAATCACAATCCTCCAACTCAGCTTTAGCTAGTTTACCTGACCCTAGAAATTAGGACCTGCTGGCTTTATAAGGAAATCCCCAGCCTCCTAGCCAATCATGCTGTTTCCACTTTGTCTCTTCTAACTCTCTCTAAAACTTGCTCTTGCCTAAAATCCCTCAGGAAGAGCGTGCCACTGCTCATGAGGCAACTGCACTCCCCCCATCCGTGGATTGTTCTCCCTTGAATAAAGGACATCAAACTTGTTACTAAACTGCATTATTTTTGTCTTTTGACACTACTCTCCAGCTTTCATAATAATACACCATCCTGAATCACTTCTTACCCTTCTCTCCCTTATCTCAGTTAATTCAAATATTACCCTGAGCCTAATATGAGATGGGCAGAGCACTAGGTCCTACAGATAAAAGAGGGAACAAGGCATGCCCTGTCCTTGAGGAGAGAGATGCAGGAAACTAATATTTCAGCCCAAAATGACAAGAATTATAAGGTATGGCCAGGTTGATGTATGAGTACCAGGGAGAGAGATTTAAGTCGTAAATCAGAGAGAATTTATGGTCAAAGAAGGCTTCTCGGAGGATATGATGCTAACCAGTCAGGTTTGTGCCAGACACATTTATATTCCCCAAAGTAGCCGTCAGGGCTTCAACTGCCTGGAAATCCTTCTAGATTTTCCCTAGGCAGCTCTCTGGTCCACTCCCATGACAACTATTTCTTACTTTCTCCACTGTCCTCAAAATTTCCAGACAGCTTCTATCTGTCTCACTCACAGAAAACAACCTAACATTCAACTTCACAGAAAACAGAAATACAGTCCATTAGCAGAGAAGTCTTACTATTAAAAGATAAAAAAACTTATTTTGTTCCCTAAATCACCATCTCCTAACATGATCACTTTCAGAGGCACAGGGAAGTCCTTCCTCTCTTCTGCTTCCCGATGTCTCCTTCAGTGTCTTAACTCCTTGGCTGGACCTCCAGGTTCCCTCTCATCCTCCTCTGCTGCTGGCCCAGAGTCTCCACCATTTGGTTCCACCAGATTTTCCTTCAGTGGAGAGGGTGGAGGTCAGAATGGCAGTGAGGGGGTGGATCCTTGCTCTTCAGAGAATCAGGAGAAAGGAACTCCCAGATCCAGCCTGAGACTAAAGTCTCTATGACCCTCTCAGCATAACCTTAGAACCCAAAAATATCTCCACAACTCCACCCCACCTTACCAACACTGTTCCCATTATTAGCTTGGTCAAGACCCCAGAAGGCAGATGGCCGTGCTCCAAGCCCCAGAAAAACTGGGTGTGGTGGGGCTGAAGGGAAGAAAATATCATCCTCTCTCACAGGCTTTTATGCTTTACTATAACTGTTTTCTAGGAATCAAATTTAGACAAACTAGAAGCTAACAACTGTTTTTGCAAGTCATAAGAAAATGCATTTCACGTATAAATAATGGTTCTTCTCCAGAAATACCACTTGGTTCAATTTCTGCTCAACAGTATGGATTACATGAAGCAATTCTACTATATCTAGAAGAGGTTTTGGAATCCAGTTAAATGAAGTTGTGGGTTAGCCAACAAAAGTCAAAAACATAAGTCTATAACTCCCCTATAACCTGAAGGTACCGGGACTCTCAAGTTGATTCATTCATTCCGCAAATACGTATGAAGCATCTATCACATACCAGTTACTACACTAAGCTCTAGGTGCACAGTGGAGAACAAAACAGATATATCCACTGCTTAAAGTCTACTGAGGATGAAGGGAAGCAGAATATGCCACTCCAAAATATGCCACTTTGGCATACTGATTATTTTGAATTAAAGTTACCTGAGAAACAGCTGGTGCAAGAAGGACACTCTGACCCTCCTTTGTCCCCCTGAAAGCAGAAAATAAATCTCCCATGTGAAAGGTACCCTCCCTGTACCAACAGAAAGAGAGACATCTCTATTACCAAAGATAGGGAATTGAGGAGAGAGAAGGCTATATAAACAAATGTTGTTACTTCCTCACTAATTTGCTACCCTAAGTCCAAACTTCTTTGTCTTGCCAATTCATCACAAATTTATTGTTTCTTTGTCGAAAAGGTATAAAAACTGCCTGCTTTGCTCACTTCTTAGAGTCTCATATTTTTATGCGCTCCTGTACATATGAAATTAAATTTGTTTTTCCCCTTGAATCTGTCTTATATCAATTTAATTATTAGGCCAGCCAAAGAACCTAGAAGGAAAGAAGGGAAAAGTTTTCCTCCCCTAGAAGACAGACAATAAACAAGTAAACAAGTAAATAGAGCATTACAAATGGTAATAGTGTTTGCATTACACACTGCAACAAAATTATACTCCCAGGCACTACCCAATTGCCATCAGGCTCCTTAGCAGGATGAGCAGTGACCATGAAAACATGGTAGAAAATTGTACCAAATTGTTGGTCTAGGAGACATCTGCATTTAAACTCTGATTTGCAAAACAAGTGTCTGGAGAAGACTTCAGGCTGATGACTCACTAGATCAACGGGGACTCTTACAGAGCTTTATATTCAATCAAATTGATGCCCCACACGCTACATGAGTTTTTAACCAAAGACACCACTAACTTGAGCCATAAACAATATCCAACCCACACAAGCCTCAGAACACATGTATATAATAGTGTCATTTCCATGTAACCAATAAAATCTCTTCAGCCAGTAACCTCGACATCTCACTCAAATGACCAGCCCCAAGTGGCACAGAAGCCAAGGAGTTGGGACAGGCCCAGTGGCACAGCAGTTGGGTTCACGCACTCCGCTTCGGCAGCCCAGGGTTCGCAGGTTGGGATCCTGGGTGCAGACCTATGCACCGCTCACCAAGCCATGCTGTGGCAGGTGTCCCACATACAAAGTAGAGGAAGACGGACATGGATGTTAGCCCAGGGCCGGTCTTTCTCAGCAAAAAGAAGAGGATTGGCAACTGATGTTAGCTCAGGGCTAATCTTCCTCACCAAAAACAAAAAAAAGAAGCAGCCAAGGAGCTGTTCACCACAAAAGGTATCTCCCAGACATCTCAGATAGGGGTAGAGGGATTTTCTCAAAAAGGATTTCTCAATTACAATGGCAGAAAACAAGCAACTCCTGATTTATGCTGTTTGGCTCAAAGTCTTCTCAGTGACGTTTTCATGGTCCCAGAAACTCAACCACTGGCTCAATGACCTATCAAAAAACTGGAGAGACAATTCCTAACTAAAGCTCATTTGAAGCTCTGAGACCTAAATCAAAGTAGCGGGGGTATAGTCAGATAGGAGAATTTCATTCACTTACCCAAAATATGTGTGCCTCACCCACCCCCAGAATCTGGGCTTTGCACACAAAGAGAGGCAAACTACTCCCTCATGCTGCTTTCTAACGCAGCAGGGAACTACCCTCTTTTGCCAATACTTGTTTTCTTGTACCAATTCCTCTTTAATTCCCACCAACTACACTTCCTAGCATGCAGTGCGGCTGGGGGAGCACTTTGATCCACAAATATGAAGTCAATCTTTGGAGAAGTCTGGCCTAGAAGAATAATAAGCAGGGGGCTCTGTAGTGTGCAAACTGCTGGCTTGGAAATTACTTGTAGTGTTTTCAGATCATCCAGGAATAAATTATCACTCATAAAATGATGACAAGGACAAGAGATGAGAAAATCCCTGCTTCCAACAACAGATCCATAAACAATAAAGACCACAGTAACACGGTGCACAGCACTCAGCCTTCCAGCTTAAAAGGCCAAAAAAGGATTATAAAATCTACAAGGTACACCCAGAATAAGAACACTAAGAATAAGAATAAATATGGCCTACATCAGGAATGAACAGATTTCCCCTCACATAAGACTAAGAAGAAAATACAAGCAGAAGGCCTATCAAAATATCTTACTGCTAGAAGACACAAGTTATATATAAAATTTCATTAGATGATAAGAGTGCACTTCAGCTCAATGAGAAAAGGAAGGATTGGATAATAAAATAAGAAGGAGGAGGAGAAAGAGAAACAACACAGAGACCATTAACTACTTGGAAAGAAAATTCATGGGCCCCATAAAAATAAACTCTAAAAGGATTAGAGTTAAAAAATGTTTTAAAAGAAAAACAATCACCATGTCATCTACTTTAAACATCCTGCTTAAACCGCATTAGTGGCTTTCCATTGGTCTTACAATAAAAGATCAAAATCCACAACAGGACCTACAAGTCCACACACAGTCTGGCTCTAAAAATTCCTCCCCAGCCATAATCTCGACGCAGTCACGCTTCATCTTGATCTCTGTGCTTCAGCCACACGGCCTTTGCCAGGGCCTGAAATGCACTCCTCCACCACCTCCTTATTGTGATGTAACTACAACCTTCCTTCAGAGTTTAGTTCAAGATCACTTCCCGAGGAAAGCCATTCTGGGCATCCTCGAGCAGGTCAGTTACCCTTATTAGACATTTTTATATTACCATTTACCGCTCTGTCATAACACTTGCCACAGTTTTAACTTTATTTGTGCAAATTTTAGAGAAATTAAAGTCTATTTTCTACTAGACTGAAGATCCAAAAGGGTAAGAATTACTACTTTGTGTGTTACTATTGACTCAGCACTGCCATATAAGAGACACTCAATAAATACCTGTGTTAAAATATATGAATGAAGAACTGAACTAAAACACGATGACTGTATAATCTTGGAATGGAAATAGACATTCTCAGCATAACACAGAGGCACAAACCATAAAGGAAAAAACTGATAAATTTGACTACCAAAAAAATGAAAATCTCTATCAAAAACATTACGAACAAACAAATTAAAAACTAGGGGAAATTGGGGGCCGGCCTGGTAGCATAGCGGTTAAGTGTGCACGCTCCGCTTGCTGATGACCTGGGGTTCAGATCCTGGGCGCGCACCAACGCACTGCTTGTCAAGCCATGTTGTAGTGGCATCCCATAAGTGGAGGAAGATGGGCTCGGATGTTAGCCCAGGGCCAGTCTTTCTCAGCAAAAAGAGAAAGATTGGCCACTGATGTTAGCTCAGAGCTAATCTTCCTCACACACAAAACAAAAATGAGGGGAAATATTTGCAACATCCCTGATTA